GTTGTTTTATATTGTACTAAATGCACTAGGCGAGGGATCGATGAGCATCAGCAACGCGTTAGGTGCCAACACATTGGACATACTATTATGCTTGGGCTTGCCGTGGTTCATCAAAAGTCTTATGCCGATCTCCATGAACGGTGGACCGATCTTGATGGAAACCAACGATTTATTTTTTAACTGTATATGTTTGATCATCAGTGTGATCGTGCTGAACATCGCAGCTGCTGCGAATGGATTCAAAATGTATAAGACGTTTGGTATTATATGTCTTATAGGCCATATTTGTATCATAACAATATTCATAATAAGCGGCCTTAATGTTGTGAAACGAGCAGAAATTGGGCAATGTTAGTATTGGATAGACACTAGTTAGAATATAATATTCATTCATTAGTTATCACTTTTAATTGTTGTCGAATTAAATGTCATGCATTTTAGTTTTAAGAAAATGTTTACAATATTTATGTACACTGTACAAAATACAGTAACTAGGAACATCAATTATTTTCATTTTATTAGTTTTATTAATGTAGATATTTTGAACCAATGACGTGTAGTGAACATTAGAACATTAAGAATAGTTAAGATTATTGTAATAAGTTTTTGATAAAAATAACCACCTATTTACACATTGTTGTGCCAACATTTATTTTACCATTTAATATTATTTGAATAATGTTTATTATACATATTGACTTGTATGTTAATTACAAATTGTAGGTCCTATGGAACTTGTTTTATTTTATTTAATCTAGTTGAAAAATTGTAGTTTTTTTTAAATTATCATTAGTGAAGATTTAGTTTAAATAATTCAATAAGAATGTTAAATAGCTATAAGACTGACGAGTATATTATTATATAATAATTAATTATGGCTAGTAACCAGCAACCAATAGTATACAATTTCCAATGATAAAAAATATAGGAGAAAATATTCCGCTCATGTATGTAGTTTAATTTTATAAATAATTAAGAAATGTCTAGATATTTGTTACTTTATTAAAATATATATGTGTATTTTGAAAATATTGATAATAAAATAACAAAAAATGAAAAAATTATTTTAACAAAAAATTACTATTATGAATCGGTCATATCAAAATAAAGAGTTCTAGCTCTATCTCTGCAATGAGATAGGCCTTTGCTAATTTTTGTGCTCATATCTTCAACATTGAATTTTGTTTCCTGGTCTATAGACATTGGTGTTCCTGAGGCTTCTTTAACAGGTGGTCGAGTATAATACAGTAATGTTCCGCTAAAAAAATATGAATTATTACCAGTTAGTTTGTTATCATTATTTCAATAATATATAAGGATTTGTACATAGGGGGTACTCTATTTTCTAGTACCATGTCTGCTATTGGGAGGTGTCTGTTAGGGGATTCACTTTATTAGCAGTTTTCTATACAGTGAAACCTCAATATATCAGACCACTCATGGGCACTGAAATTTTATCTGATATTCAAGGGGTTCAGTTCTTACTTTGTCCCCCTCCCCAAAAAATAGCAGTTTGAAAAACAAGTAATAGCAAAGATAATAAAATTTAAAAATGCTTATAACTTGCTTCACAATCAAAATATTATAAAAAAAAAACGCTTTACCCAGACTTAAGACAATATCAAACTCTCTCAAATAAATGAAACAAAACTTTAACAGCTTAGGTAAATTTAGTATGTAAAAAATTTGTAGAACAATTAACAAACATTAATGTTCTTGAATTCTAATAAAGGCTATTACACTTATCTAGTGTGAGTGAAAAATTCAAAGTAAATAAATACAGAATGTACACAACAAAAATCATTAAGATTAACACAACATATTATGTGATCTTCAAAACCCTAAGATTATATCAGTAGTGTTTCATAATCATTGTAATCAAAACAATTATTGTTTCTGCTATAGTTTTAAATCAACGACAAATAATGGGTCTAACATCAAAGACCATAAATCAGTGATTTTCGGTTTTAGGTTATTTTTAATAATAAATTATTATTAAATCTCAGAGTAATCAAGTATTATTTTTAAGTAAAATTATTCAAATTAAGAATAACACTTACTCCTTTAGATCTTTCATGAAAGATTTAGCTGCATTGAGTTGGTCTGGTTTTCCTTGTCTATTTATTAAGCTATGTCGCCTTGCTTTCATTTCAAGTACGTGTGTATAATCTTCAGTATTTTCTACAGTCATGTCATACAATAACTTTAACTAAATGAAAAAAAATTTCATATAACAGAAATCAGTTATAGACAAATTAATTTATAATCACAAACCTGATTTTTTTTTATGTAAGGTAATATTAAAGCACATATCTTGGCTGGGACTACATTTTGAAGATCTACTTGTAATGCATGTCTCAATAATAAACGACTATCACTGGGCTTCTCCAATATAGTACTAGCTCCAGTACATTTCCATGGTAATAGTTCAATTTTTATATTATTGAAAGGAAATACTCCAACAGACCTGTTAACATATTTCCATTAATTTTTATTACCATAAAAAAATTAATTTTTAACTCACTGGTTTTTTTTTGATGGAACAGGTTCATCACCAACTGTATATTTCCATTTAATGGTATCTACAACACAAGATTTTCCCACCTTGGGCATACCAACCACACCAACTGTTATACCTAAAATTGGTGCATCTATACAACTTTGTAAATAGTTCAACACAACAGATTCACCAAAACATCTGTTGGCTACTTTTTTTTTTATCCTTGCTATAAAATTTGGATCTTTTGCACTAGTTTTTGGTGTATTTCGTACTTCACGACTGGCTCTGAATGGCACTGTTGGTGCTACTTTGTTAAAATATTCTACCCACTCAGTTACTATTGATTTAGGCACTAAATCAATTTTATTTAACAAAATAATACGTTTTTTATCTGGATTGGCTTTTAAATAATCATCTATTTCCTTAGAACGAGTGGCCAATGGATCACGAATATCCAGAACTTCTAGAACTACATCACACATTGAAATTATCTGAAACAAATATTATTTATTCATAGGTATTAATTAACTATACATATCGGTAGTTGGAATTTATACAACTAGTCTTACATTTTTATAATTGTGTTCAATGTATCGATCTGCTCTAGTTTCTTTTAAAAGCCACTGTTGTCTAAAAGGCAATTTTGATTCAGCACTTTTTTTAGTTTCTTCTTCTGGTTCTGTTTCCATTGAATTAAAATTTGCCAAACGTATCTCTCGTTCTTTTCTTTTAGCTTCATTAAGTTGCTCAATGATTTCTTCTTTGAATGGACACATGTTTGGAGCAATTATCATACTATTTTTGGTCTCTACCATAACAAATAATTCAAGTTAATACTGCATAATTATTGATTCATCAAAAAAAAAAAAAATAGGTATTACCTATGTAACATAAATATTTTGTTAAAAATAAAAACAAGTATATTATGCAAGTTTAAAAACAAAAAAAATAAATACTGTATGATTTGTTAAATGTTTCAGCTAACACAAGGTAATTCACGACGCTTAACTAAGTAGCACTCAAATCGAGGCCCCAGAAATAGCAAACATGAGCTACAAAATATGATACACCTACGTACTCTACGTATGTTCTGCAATTAATTATTTGACCTGGAACTCACTTTTTTTTGGATTTTTCTTAGCGACTCGTTTCAGTTTTCGATTGTGTTCCCTTACTTTCTTGGCAACCTTGTACTTGGTCCTGCATTTCAAACGTTTGGACTGTTTCCCTACAGGCAGATTTTAAAATTGTGTAATGAAAAACAAAATCTTTAGTTAACAAGTTATAGCTCTTTGGGTAGAACTTACTCTTTTTAGGCAAAGCCATGGTGTATCACCGGTCTGTGGAACGAAGTCTGACAATCAAAAAACCTAAGCACACGACAAAACGAACGAACAGCACCAACTAGTTCGGACTTCGGGATGAGATAGGTATGCACCTATTAATCATGAAACAATAACAGTGGAAGCTGAAGCTCACTGCCTGGATGCGGATGGTACTTACGTACCCGCACAAATGAGAGAGCCGTCAAGCGAGAACACGACGGTCGACGAGCAGTTCGAGTTAACCTCAAAAACACAAAATACGATTAGACATTCAGGTCCACGACGGCTTGCGGTGTTTACATTATCAAGGCACAGGGTAGTAGGTATGCCCATTGCATAAAGAATTATATATTTCCTGTGATTATCTGCATGGTATCACGGAGTAATAATTTTGAATTAATACCGCGGTTAGTACCTCAACCGTGGGCAGCCACAGCGGCAGCGACAATAATATTATTATTATTATCACAGGACAATCTTAATGTTATACCTATTATCTATTCTATCCTGTAGTGGTTCTTCGGTAGATGGTCGACGGCTCGGGGCGCGATCTACACGAGCTGGTCAGCAGACGAACAGCAGCAGCACGAGCAGCTGTTATAACGTAAACAAAAGGACCGCGCGTCGATTGGAGGACGAGATCATCGTCGTATGATTTCGACCCTTCCGCTTTTCCTCCCACCAACCACTAGCGCGATATTCTCCAACGATTTGCACCTTTTACGTATCACACACGCGCTCGCGTATCATGATCCCATCCTAGATCTACAAAAGTATCAATTTATATATAGGACGTGTAATATACATAATACATATACACATATATATATACATGTAGGTAAATACATGTGTATACATCTCGTACGTGGATGAACTTTTTGTTTTTTTTTTTATTTTACATAATACGCTGGCACTAAGCACAGAGGGAATACGAAATCGTTTTTTTTCCTCTCTACACGCTTTACCGCTGTGCACCTACGTCAGTCATATTGTTGTCATTTGTCCCGTTTTCGGATTATATTAATTCAGGTACGGCTTGTATAATATTTACCGTTTGCACGCATAAATGCATAATTATTTGCGATAATAACAGCAGTGTAGATAATAATAATAATAATATTAATAATAATTAATAATTATAACAAACAAGGGAGTAACGGACGCGGTCGCTAGTCGTAATGTTGGATTGACCGATTACCGACGAGACACCAGCAATCAAAACGAATCGGATCCGCTGCCGTAAGGCGCGAATACTGTCGTTACTCGTTAATATTGTGGATTATTGTCCTCGACACGCGCCGTTTAGGGACCAGGATATCCGTCTTCTCGACTCTCGATCGGCCATAGTGGCCGTACCCCGCCATCGCGATTCGCGATTCGCGAGTCGCGGATGACCGACTGCAGAATGCAGGCTGCAAGTTGCAACGGTTGTCGGTTACTCGGTTAACGGGAAGAGATTTCGGCGGCGGCGAGCGCAAGTGCGGTGGATGTGGATCCGTTCTGTTTCCCGTACCGCGCGCGTTTGTGAGGTTATGTTTGCTTTGTTGTCACTCGATATTCTATGTATATACATGTACGTTTTTGTGTGCTGCGTGTAGTGTGTTACTATTATTATTATTATTATTTATTTTTCCACTGCGCTCTCCGCCGTTGCAACCGCATTACCTGTATATGAGTTCTTGAATGTCCATCAGACATCAGCGCTGTTTTCCCGAGTGTCCTGTACGCAACCCGTCTCGCCGATCGTTTTTCTCGTGCAGCCGTCGCCGTCTTTGCCGCACTCAGCCAAAGGTTAGACGGTCAACTTTTCCATTTTTCTAATCCCCCGCCCCCCTTACACGCTCCGTTTTTCGTTTTTGATAATAATATATTATAATAATTTATTGTGGGCAACCCGTCAATATTAATTATTGCCGTTCACTGTGTCCTAGTTGTTTCCTTGTGATATTTTAATTTCCTTTTGTTGGAAACCATTCGTCGTATAATTTCTCTTTTTCTCGAATTACACACCACTTGAATTTTAGAGACTAGACTCGTGTGTGTGTGTGTGTGTGTTATACCTCTGTCCTCTATTGCCGTGTCAAAAACGATCAACAGGTTTAGTGTGGGTTTGGTGTTACTTAACTCTTAATTAATGTTCGAATCCTCCTTTTTTCTGTTCCAGCGTTTTGCGTTCATACTACTTTTTTTTTTAATTTAAAAAAAAAGGTGAAATCATGACAGATTCCATAAAGTTTGGTCCAGAGTGGTAAGCACGTCTAGGTTTTTATGTTTAATGTTTTCTTTTTATTTTATTTATTTCATCTTCTATTTTCTCAACACTTGCAATTGTGCACGTTGATTGCCCTCAACAAATCAATGTTTTATTAATTGCACAGTACGAATTCTATTGAAGTGCATGTGGCTCTTACTTTTATTTTGATGTAACAATCTCAATCACTGTTTCCCTTAGTAATTTTTCATTTGTTAGTTTATTAAAATATTATTTAGTGTTAATTTGATTCATTCTATAACTGTTATAATAACTAATTACCTTGCATACAAGTCATCATTCTAAAATTAGGTTTTTTAATTATTTGAATATTACCTAGTTTATTCATTCTATGAAAGAACCTACTATAAAAATTGACTAGTGTTCAAACACTTTCTGTTATCCGGATCTTCCTATTATGCCAATGGACTTAGGTACCTGCTCGAGGTTGAAAATTAAAAAAAATCTAAAAGGTACTATCTCCATCTATGATATTCACAGTATAGAATTTGTAACAAAATTGATTTTTATTTTATCAAAACTAGTTGGCTATAGGTAGGAAATAGTAATTCTTTGGCAAACATTCAGAACCTTCATTTTATACATTTCATGTCTCATTGTTTGTCATATACATCTTTAAGTATTATGAAACTATATCATACCTTGTAGTTGTATACAATGGTAAAATATTTAAATCTTTACTGATAAAAATCCATAATAGTTATATATTCATTAAACTTGTTTTAACCATCTATTTAATTTCTTCAAGTGTAATGCTAATGTAATAATATATTTTTTACCTTTTATTTGTTTTGTTATGTCAAACAATTAATTGTTATTTGCTTACTGTACATTCTTTGATATTTTTTTTAAGTATTTAATATTTTTATTTTTATTTCTTTAAGCTATAAAAACAATAACCATAAGAAATAAATTGTATTATTCTGCTTCAATGTTTAGTTACCTTCTTCATAATTAGGTACATTTTATTAAAACTTCTAGTATATTCCATATTTTATAATTATTCAATTCGTATTCATATTTATGTTTGTTATATATTTGTATCATTGAGTTATGACTCAATGTGTCAATAATATTTAAAAATACATTATTGTATTTTCCATGTTAATTCATTCTTAACAGAAATATCTAATAAATTATGTACACTTTCTGAATCTTACTTAATCATCTCAGTGATTACCATTCACCATTTGATATCTCCCCTTGCAAGTTTATCAAATTAAAAAATAGTGATATGTGGTATAAATATGAACAACATTTTTCATTGATATCAATATATAAATACGAACACAAATATTCATTGAAATTAGTACATAATTATGCAACTAATTTTAAGATTGTTAGATGATTAAAATAGTTTTTATGTTATTGTTGATTTGTTGAAATTGGTGAATAATTCAATTTATTTTAAATGTATTTCATTAATGTTCATTTTTTTTTTTTTTTTTTTTGATTGTATTAAGTATTAACATATGTAACTATTTATGAAATAGGTTAAGAAATATGTCTCAAGGCATATCAAAACCTCAGCTTGCTGAACATCGTTATGGTCGAGAAGAAATGTTAGCCTTATTTGATATCTCGTCGTGTAATATTCCACCAGAATCGCTTAAGGAACTGTCTATGGTGTATAATGACAAACCTCAAAATCCATTGTCTCTACAACAAATGTCTGAAGAAGAAACTGTATGTTATAATTATTATACTAAATATATGTACAAAACTTAAATTTAACACTAAACTATAATTTAAATTTTTTAGAGACTTTGGAATCGAGGTATAAATAGTGATACCGTTATCAGGGCATCTGTTCGAACAACTGGTGGTAGAGGTACTGCTAATATTGAAGTTCGTGGAGGTAGTACAAGTGCCAGAGGACGAGGTGGTCGTGGTGGTTATTATTATAATACTACACGGCCAGGTTATGAAGAAGGCCCAGAAGGTGGAGGCTCACCAATGAACCGAGGTCCTCACAGACCTTTTGAAAGACTTAACTCGGTAAAATATTATTTTTTTCACTCAAATGTAATTAATGCTAATAGGTATTTGATATTAATAGTTCACTTAAGTTTGTAGGTGTTATTAAATTTTACTGAAAACCATTATTGCCTAACTTATAGTTTCAATATAGTTGCTAAGTGATAACACTGATAACGTATAGAGGACACTTCACCCAGACTTGGCTTTTTTGTTTTACAAATGTAAAACATACCTAAAACTGTTTGCGCGGGAAAAGAACTTAGAACTCTACAGTCATAACTAAGAAATGACATTTTCACCACATATAAAGAACTTTGTTTTTGGAATATCGTTTTTAATTTTTCAATATTGGAACTACAACAAAAAGTTACTACCGACTGTCACCAATGTGGCTACTTCAGTACTTCTTCTTACAAACCATCCACACCCACTAATTCTTGCACTTAATTTGGCCGACGTTACTAGTAATTCACCGTGAAGACTTAAAAGACACTGACTGAACTAAACTGGTATTTTAATTTAATATTTAATAAAACAAAAAAAATTCTTAACATGTAAAATAACCTAACAAATTATCTTGTGGAGTGTTACTGCTGTGGAGCAACTCCCCTCAAACATTTACTGCTAATAATATCTTACACTGATATGCTTTTTGTAAAAATGTTGAAAATTGCGTATAGGTACTCTAATAGATGTTCAAAAAAACTTGCTTCTAAACTGTATGCTAATTCATACAACTACAACCTCTATATTCCATATTGAAATTTTACTTTATGAATATTAACTCTTTTTCTGTGATTTCTGGCTATTAGCCACACTATCAATTTTAACCAATGAAATCAGTTCCATTAGCTAACTAGAACAAAACACATTGATATGAATGTAGTTTTGTATAATGTCTAGTACACAATATTCTGTTGATCTGTCAACTTGGTTGCATTAGGAAATTAATACTGGTTAAAAAAAACAGGAAATGTGGCTTGATACTAAACTTAAACAATTGAAGTGTATAAATGAACTATTATATTTAGAATGAAAGAAATATGAATCGCAATGGTGAGTATTCCAATGATTGGAGAGGAAGAGATGAATCAAATTGGTGGAGGAAAAATAGAGGTGGAGCACATCAAGGCCAATCTGACGAATCTAATGGTCGTTGGGGACGAACTCGTACAGATTCTTATAACAATGATAGATGGCCTGCAGGACGGCCTACATCAAAATATGATGAAGATGAAGGATGGGATCGTGGTGAATCTAGATGGTCTAATAATGCCACAACTCACGAACGCCGAAAACTTGATTGGGGAGAAACCTTGCCGGAATGGTAACTATTATTGGAGATTTTTTTTGGTAATTTTATTAAATAACAATATTTTAGGGCTGTTGATAATCCCGGTGAAAAAGGTGGAAGTTTTGATTCATCTGGTGCCTTCCATGATAATCATTATGAAGACGAACACCACTATAATATGGGAGATGAACTGTCTCGAGAAGTATGATAAATTAAATACATTTTAAAGTTCTAATTCATAATGACACAATTGGTATTCAAAATTTAATTTTAGGAGGGACGAGAATATGAAGAAAACAATGATAATGGGGATACAAATGTTAATAATGTAGAAAGCTCAAATATCTCACCTATAGACGATAAACAGTTAAATGGCCGAGAAAAAGAAGGTGTGTTCAATGTCTTCATATATATTACCTAAAATTAAATTAAAGGCCAGCTAGTTTTAGAGAAGTTACATATAAGCAATATGTTTAGTTTGTGCTTAAATTCTAAATTATTATAGTATGTGCTATGTTTATGCTCGTGCACATTCATGTTACAACTGCATAGGTGTAGCACGTAAACAAGTATTTTTTTTTACTAAAAGTATACAATAAGAAACTGAAAGAGGGACGAGGTGACCAAGTGGTCTGACGTGTCTGCTGCAACGCAGCCAGTCGCGGTTCAAGCCTCAGCCACCGGGCGGCATTTTTCTCCGGACAAGTCGCGGTGACCAGAGAACAAGTGCCGCCATCCCCCAACCGGGCATGGCAGAAACCTACGGGTGACCAAAAAAAATTTTGCCAAAACAAAAACACACACGTGTCCCCCCCCCCTACAGTTCCAAACCCTACAGTACCACAACCTACAGCTAATGGCCTCAGTTGCCGAAGCTTAAATCAAAAAAAAAAAAAAAAAACTGAAAACGTTCTTTGATTTGAATTTCTTATAATGGTAAATATAATATTCAACTTAGTTCTCATAAGATCAACTTTCCCGTGTTTTATTAAATAATTTATAGACAATTAGGTGTTTTATGAATCTATATTAAAAAAGCAAGAAGCTGATTTTAAATAAATTGCATGGCTAATTTGAATTGTTTTTTGTAAGTCTTTTCCTCTTGCTAGGTCAATAAATTTGTTTGACAAAAAAACAAACGGAAATCTTTTGGTAACTAGTTAGTTTGTAATCCTTTTGACTTTTAATAATATTAAGTACTACTTCATCCTTCAACAAAATTGAAGTTTTGAAAATACTAAAAAAATAAACTAAACAATTGAATACCTATTTATTTATTTATTTTTTTTTTACTAGGTATCAAACATGAAATATTATATTTTCATAAATCTTAATTAAGTTAAACTAAAAGGTTAAATTGATTTTAAGTATTTATATTTTAATATTTTCTTGATGATGGTATTTAATATCCAAATTAAATTATTAATAACACCAAATTACATTGTAAGAAATAACAATTAATCTAATTTTTTTAATTATTTAGAAGTTGTATCATCTTCAATATCTACTTCACCGTCGCATAATGAAGAAGCAATTTCTTCCCCTGAACGTTTTAAATCCATGAGACAACAGCATCAACATAAAATAAATGCTCAAATAACTAAAGATGTATTTATACAAAATGAACAAGTAATGATAAATCATCCTGAACCTGTAAGAATCCAGCAGGTTCCAGATATTCCAGTTATTCATAGCAAAAGCAGTCCAGCAATTCCACTTATGTCTGACTGTCAACCTAATAAAATTGAAAATATCAAAAACTTGAGAGAAATGCCTGGTATAGGGAATCATATTGAGAATACTAATATTAACCCCATCCATCGATCAACAAGTGAGTATTTATTTACAGAAAACATTTATAACAGACTAAAAAAGAGTTCTAAAAGAAGAGAAAATATTGACTACAATTAAATTTAGTTACATAAATTTGTTGATTGTTTTTTACTTCCATTAGTTACTGACTTGGTTTATTTTTAAACCCAATATATACCAATTTAAACTGGAATTAGGTTATGGTTTAAATGTTGAATTTATTGCATATACTGTTAAGTTAATATTTAAATTTGATTTAGTACTAGTATAACTGCTTTTAGGTTTAAATGCTAATGCTCACCATCGAATTGATTCATTGGATGCTGAGGCTGAATCAATGGTGTCTAGATTAACCAGTGATAACTTCAAAATAGGACCTTCTTCACATTCTCCACTCGCTCCTCTTACTAACAACAAATGGTATTATAGAGATCCCCAAGGCGAAGTTCAAGGTAAATAATATGCAACAAAGTTAAGTTCAATGATAACAGTTAAAACATTTTAGGTCCTTTCTTGACAACTGAAATGGCAGAATGGTATAGCTTGGGATATTTTCATGACAACATGTTAATGGTGAAGAGAGCATGCGATGAACATTTTTATTCCTTGGGTGATCTTGTGCGATTAAAAGGAAATGTACCATTTTCAGACACTCCATTTTCGGTATTAAATTTGTTGTTTATTCTTAATTTATATTAATATATTATATTATATAGTATTTGATATTTTTAGGAACATGATGTAAAAATTAGCAGCCGAATAGGAGTACAACCTCCTCCAACACACAACCCATACACAATGAATGAATCTTTGGTTCTTCAACAACAACAGCAACAGCAACAATACCAATATAGACAATTATTTTTAAAGTAAGTTTACTGCCTTGGCAAATTTAGTCATTTAAATTTTTTTTGTGAATATTATGTGAAAAGGCTAATGAAATCTGTTCATACGACTTTCACCTTTAAATATGGATTCTGCCTAATATTATCATAAATAATCCACTATACTTTCTCTTGACACTGTTTAACACTTATGTACCTCCAAAAAAGATTAACTTAGCAAAATGGTATTAAGATAAAACAATTAATACTCAATGCTTGTTCCTAAGCACATTAAATAATACTCAAACTAATAAATTCACTACCTGAAAAAGAAAACTATTAATATATATAAATCACTCCTAAAGCCCATATGGATGATGGTATTCAACTTAAATGATCGGGAAAAAATTTAATTTAAACAAAATATAAGCTTAACAAATATTTAACTCTGCAAAATAACAATACTTCATCCTTTGTTTTTACCCGACCATTTACAGAGACTTTAAAACTGTAGAGCAAGAAGCTACTTACATTTTTCTGTTAAGGTTTCTATACTAGATTGAAAAACCTTAATTAATCCAATGATTAAAAATGTTTTTATCTCGTCACTCCTAAGAAATCCCTTATCATATGCTTAAAAAAATAGGTCTTAAAAACCTTACTTGATCCTCTAACATAAATCCCAAGAAAAGTGTGTTTAATGGACAGCTCAATAACCACGCAACCCCGATTATGTTATTATCCTCAAAAATACTATTGTGTTTGATTGTGTAGATTATATATTTCATAAAAAAAATATAAGTTTGTATTCGTTCTAATATTATTCATTATTTTATGCAATTATAAAACAAAATGATATTTTCTATGTGACAAATATGTAACCAGATGATGAAACATTTGTTTTTTGATTATAATAATTTAAAAAATAATTAAATGTTTAAAAATAAGTATTGATGCTATGCGACTTTTTTTGATGTAGTAGACAATAGATAATTTTTCCACCCAGCATTCTTAAAAGTCACAAAAAAACGAATTTGTGACATAAAACTTGTGCCGCGCTTCAAAAATTACTCTGTTTGGATGTGCCTCATTGAGTATAATATGTTGTTTTATAAGAATTATTTATTTTTAGGCAAAGAGAATTAGCTATTCAAAGTGCAGTTCATCAACTATCACAATCTGAAAGGTGGAATACTCTGTCGCCCATTGAACAACAACAGGTAATAATTAAATTGAAAACATTTTTTTTGATTGAATTGTATAATATTATATATTTGTGTGAATTATATTTAGTTGATAATGCATCATATTCGAAATGTAGAAGCTAACACAGGAATTCCTCCGATGTTTGCACCTCCCATTCTTCCACAACCACAGCCGACACCTAATATACATCCCATGAATCAACCGCCTAATAACAATTTAATGGTGATGTTATCCCATATGCAACAACAACAACAACAACAGCAGCAACAACATTTCAACCATGTAAGATACAAATTTTTTAAAAAAAAACCAACAAATATGAAATAATATTGTTATGCATTATAGCAAATTGATCCTAAACACATTCATTCTGTACCACCCTCTCAACCAATGACACAACAACTCGACCCTCTCCATTCGTTAGTACAGAGTATGGGAGGTCTAAAAACATCCACACCACCACCAGTAAATTCAAGTCACCACCATCAAAGTTCCAATATTATTCGACCAAGTAGCGCTCAGCCAGAAAACAATCCTATATCAGATCTTTTAAGGCAATTGGGTGCACCTCAAGATAAACCTCTCAAAGTAATTATTTATTTATTTTGATATTAGATAAGTTAGTTTATTGTTATTAATGTAAGGTTAATCATCAGATAACTGAAACGAGTGTATGGGGTATGGATTTTTCTGGTCCAGACAGTAAACCTAAAATGAATGGTCCAATCGGAATTAGTGGTTGGCAAACCGGGCCTTCAAATGAAACATCTCAACAAACACCTGGTGTTTTGTGGGGATCTGGAGAGTATACTAAAATTATTGGGGCTGACCATAAAGCTATTGTAAGTAACATCTTTGTGTTAACCATTTAAAAATTATTTTAGTGACCGTTGAATTTTTTATCATTCCTGTATTTCACTCATTTATTTATATACATGTAGGAAGAAACAATAAAAGAAGAAGCAAGACGAAGTCAAGAAGCTAGAAAACAAGAAATGTATTCGATTATTATTTACAAATTTATATCTTAAAATTATTACTATTTACTATTCAAATTTGTTTTAATTTACAGTAAACAAAACGAACAGATAAAAAAAAGAGAAGCAGAGAAGTCTAGATTACAAAAAGAGTTAAAAAAAAAACAAGAACTTGAAAAAGCTCAACTGGAAGAAGAAAAAAAAAAGGTGTGCATTCTTGATAAACCTTTCAACTAAATAATTTTTAAACGTTTTAGAAACTGGTACTAGCAACATTTAGTATTTTGCATATCCTTTTTATGATTGTATTATGTTGTTGAAAGTGATAAATTAAGTTTACTTATGATAAGGTAATCAGAATTTAGGAAACATTATTTGACATACATTGATTAAATTCTAATTGACTTAATTTTATTTTTGGGGGATGATGATATAATAATCAATTTAATGTTTTATTAACTGTATAACAAATTCAATCTTATTTTCATAATTCGATATTTTATTGTAAATGGAGTAGAAAATAAGTTCTCATAGATATTACAAATTATTAATCCCTTGGCTAATATCAATACATTTACTTATATAATGTTTGTATAATATGATACATAATTTCAGGAAGAAGCTCGTAGAATCAAAGAGCATGAAAAAAAGTTAAAAGAAGAGGCAGAAAAGAAAAGAAATGAGAAAAGAAAATTAGAAGAGGAACAAACAAAAAAACGTGAGTATGAAAAAAAAATAAAAGAGGAGAAAGAAAAAAGACTGTTGGAAGAAAAGAAGAAAGAGGAAGAAAAACGACTTCTTGAAGAAGAAAAAAAAAGGTTAGATTTATTGCATTATGATAAATTAAAAACTTTAAATTTTAAATATTTTTTCGTTCTTATGGCGCCTGTGAAAATATTCCCATTAGCCGAGGGTGGGGGAGGGGGCACTCATACGAAAAACCGTTATTTTGCTGTTTTACTTATAAACTATAAAAATTATTTAAAATCATGAAATTAATGAAAATAAAAATGTTGAAAGGTCAAAATTTTTAGAAAAATTAATTAAATTTAAAAATAATGTATATGTACACTTTGTTTTTGGGAGTCGAAAAACACAGATTAATGATATATTTATTATCTCAGGAGATATAGCAATAGATAAATCCTCCCTGGTTACTCTGTATAAGAAAAGCTAAAACCAAAAAAAAAAAAACGCAATCAATTGATTTTCTTATTTTAGAAAATCTGATTTGAAAAAAAAGGAAGAACAGAAGAAAAAAGATGATCAAAAAAAGAAGGATGATTTAAAACGAAAGGAAGATACTAAAAAACAAGACCTGAAGAAAAAAGAAGATGAAAATAAAAAAAAACAAGATACCTCCAGATCAAGTTCTGTTCCCATAGTTACTGAGCCACAAAAGGTATTGCAACTCATGTTTAGACTAATTATTTTAATGTAAAATTAAATAAGCCTTTAGAAACTTGTAAGTTGTTACACATATTTAATTTTTTTTTATATAATTGTATTTTATATCCTTGGGTATAATTTGCTTTTTAATATGACCGGGGGAAGAAGAGGCATTTAATTTTTTTGTGGGGAATATTTAATTTGTCGTTCTGCTAACCCTCTTGTAGTATTTATATTTAAAATCACTATATCAACTTTCATTTAAAATAAAAGTTATTTCAATTATTAAATGTTTCAACATATCTCAAGCTTTAAACAATTTCCCCTCGCTCTTAACTCTAATGCAATACTGTGCTGCGTGTTACTTGGAGTTAAACATGCAGATGCAGCATTCCTATCTTCACCATACATAATAGACACTAACAATCAAGTTATGTTCTGAAAATTTGAATTTTGGTTGTAGGTGATAAAAATGTCTTCATTTGTAGATTACACTTCTTTGCTTCAATTTAATATTTATAATCAGGGTTCTAGACTTATGGCGCTTATTATTATGATTGATCATCCAAATAATCGTTGAAGAAAGCATTTAAATACTTCATTATAAGCACTTCAAAATATTAAAATAATTTAAAAAAGCATGACAAAAACTATCAAAACAATTTTTATTGGTTTAATTTATATACTTAGAAACATAAAAATAATTAAAACTTTAATCCTTTAAGAGTTTTTGAAAATATTTTAACTAAACTTCTTTTATATTTTCTGAAAAACGGAAAAAATGTATTAATTTGACCGAATAGTCGATAAGCAAATACTAGTTCTGGTGTTTATTATTAGGAAATATGATTCAAAGGAGAAAAATGATTTTTAGTTCTTGGTTTTAAGTGAAGAAAAGCAGTAATTAACAAAAATATTTAGGTTTTTGTCAGTGGCACCTATCTATATGTATGTGAGGACCAGTGTTCGGAATATTCACTAAAAAATTGAACGTTCAGTATTTAAAAATGGAACTCGTTCACGTTCCTGTTTTATTCAAACGAACGCTTTCACGTTCATTCAAAAAATAAACACGTTTATTGGGCGTTCATTTAATTTTTTTTCCCAGTAATTACTAATTAAATTTAAATTCGATATTATAGGAACTATAATGGAAAATATTATTATAATATGATTAATTAAAATATTTTTAAAATATATTTATTAAATGGTAAATAAATTAAACGTCTTTAAAATCGATCAAGTTCATTCAAAATATAAACGTCGTTCACGTTCTATTTTAAAAATACGAGTGACGTTCACGTATCATTCACAATTTATAAACGTGAACGCGTGAATGTGCGTTCATGAACGACGTTCTTTCCAAACACTGGTTAGGACTTATATCGAACATGTCATCAGAGATAAGCATAAAAGAAAATTTAATTGGAAAAACTAGAAATTTTCATTTTTTTAAAAAAATCGTTGAAATAAACAAAACAAGCACTTTAAAATTTCATAATTGAACGTGTTGTAACATGACAAACACTTCCATAGCAATTTTCTAAATTTTATATAAAACCATAAATAAAAAATTATTATTATAATATCATCAGATAAACGTAACAATTTAATTGATTTAAAAAAAACTGCTTTAGAAAATAAGCATTGCAAAGATAAAAAAAAGAAAATAATTTTTATAATATGACTGGTTTTTTGCTATATTTTGAATAAATTATATCTGTTTTGTTTTGTATAGAAAAAGAAAAAAGACCCTCAAACAGTGGCACATAATGGTGTAGAAGCATCTGCACCATGGGCTGCTGCGGATCAAAAAAAACAAGTGCAAGTAAAGTCAATGGCTGAAATTCAAGCTGAAGAACAAAAACGTGAACAACTGATGAAACAAAAAGAACGTGAACGCACTGAGCGAGAGATATCTATGGTAGCAATTGAACAGGCCAAACAAGAAAAAGCAAGATCTGCAGTTAAAATGCAGTCTTGGTCTACTGTAATCACTAAAAATGTTCCTCAGTCTACTCCCGTGGCTAACAATTCTGTTTGGGGATCATCCAATCAAATGAGTATGTCTACTTGCATTTAACAATTTTCTTTACTTAAAAAACGATTGGTGTATGAGTCCTTATCCTTGTTTTTTTCTTAAAAATAAAAAAAAATATGTTTATGTATTTTTATTTTTATTATAACTCATTCAATTCAAAAGAAAAACCCAAATCTTAAAATTGGCATTGAATTAGTTTTATCTTCTATAGATTTTATAATCTATGATTTATTTTTTCCAGATACTGATAAACCAATGGTTCAAAAATCTAATAAAACCCCCGCTGTGACAGTTAATAATAAAAGTAATGTAAAGAATGTATCAAAAACTGTAAATCAAACTGTACAGCAAACAAATGCAATGAAGAAAGCTATAGAAAGTAGAGGTGAAAATAATAATTGTACTGACGAATTTAGCCAGTGGTGTTGTAAACATTTAGCAACTCTCAATAAAAATACTATTGACAGTGAGTATTAATTCAATTTATTCATTTTAATCTGTTTTAACTTAACATTATTTGTTTTTAGTACCAACATTTGTGACGTTTTTAAAAGATGTTGAATCTGAGTATGAAGTAAAGGACTACATTCAGAGTTATCTGGGTGATAATAAAGAAGTTCGAGAATTCAGTAAACAATTCTTTGACAAACGCTTAAAAATACAAAATAAACAAAGAAGTTCTGATTTTGTGGAAATGAAAGTAAGTTATTATTTTTTTAATTTGTGCTCATACAAATCATTCTTTTGAATATTTTAAGTTATGAGATATCTTTGGTTTTATAATATTCCTATTTTAAATCTCATTTCTATATGAAATTAACCATCACACTGATAAATGTTGTTTTATTTTTTAAATTAAATGTTATGCTTTTATTCAATGTATGCATACATATTATATTATATTTTGAATATCTATGAGCTAATTTAGGGGTTTCCTAAAAGCAAATTTCTCTCTGCCTTGATAAATTAAAAAATGCCCCAAAATTAAATAATAACTGGATAAAAAATAAATTTTTGTATAATGGCCATGCTTTTTTGTTAGTATGACCCAAGTTTCTTCAAATCCTCACATTAAAAGTACTTTTAATTTTTGTAGAACTAGTTTATAACGCAATTGTAACTTCAGTTTTCATTTCTGAATAAATCTCTCCCCGAAAAGTTTGTATAGGTGAAATGCATTAAAAATTTGTCAAAATAAATATGTTTTATTTCATTTGGGTTATTATGAAACGTATTCATTTTTAATCATGATTAAGAAATCAACATTACATAAAATTATGTTTTTACATAAATACCACACACTATTTATGAATAATTTAGTATTAAAATAAACTATTTTTTTTTTTCATTAAATTGTGTGTACATTTATCTAATTCTAATTGGTAAAATGTATTTTTCTGTTAGATATTATGTTATTATATTCATAGTATTCAGTATTGGTTATGTGTAACTGGGTTATATTAGTCCAATCAATTTAGACATTTGGTTAACTAATAGCAATTACATTTGCTTTAACACTTACTAGAAATTGAAATTATATTTTTAAGATTTGAGGTTTCCTGGAGTTATGTGGGTTAAGGCCAAAGGTGTCAAAAATAAATTTACAGTGTTGTTGAGTTTAAATATTAAGAGAATTATTCTGAAATGTTTGAAGCCTTCTAGAACAGAGGTTCCCAAACTGTGGGTCGCGACCCAAAAGTGGGTCGCGATTATACTTTTGGTGGGTCGCACTATTTTTTTAAATAATACAAAAATATAATCATCTATTACTTTTCGTTGATGTTCAAAGTTCAAATTCAGTTTTATCGTCAATCCTTATCTGTGAGTATGACAATTACGAGTTTACCAGCGGCCGTGTCAAATACTATATATTATACTTATTATACATTTTTTTCGTAATTACATAAAATGTAATAAAATAGTTTAATTTTCTGTTGTATGGTAAAAAAAAAAAAGGTCATTCATTGATATTGTGGGTCGCTATATTTTAAAAAAAATTCAAAATGGGTCGCACAATAAGAAGTTTGGGAACCTCTGTTCTAGAATACTCTTTTAAGTTTATTATTAAATGTTTATTTTCTATAGAATTGAATTAAATGTTATGTTTATTTTTACAGAGTAAAAACAAAAAACGGAATAAGATGGTGCCACTAGATAATAAAGTACTTGGCTTTAATGTGGTCGCTTCGGAACGTATCAATGTCGGTGAACTTGATCTTGGCGAATAGGAGTGATCATATAAGTGATAACATATCAGCTCGTTTTATGTAATCTTGGTTTTTTTAGGAACGATTTAGGCCTTGAAAATTAAAGAAAACAATCTTTATTTAAGTATTAAATATGTCCATGTTTCTCGTTGAAAATACTTTTTTTTATTTGATAAATATATATATTTAAATTAATTAATTTCTTTTTATTATTATTTTTAAATGTAAATATTTAAAATTAATAATTATACTATTGTTAATTTTTAAATTAATGTTGTCATACATTTTGTACAAATGCTTGCATGTAATGTTAACAATGATTTTTTTCGTTAACTGTACAAATTGACCTAAAATCCATTTCTAAAATCCGTTATTTAAACTATTATTGTAATTAACCATAAAATATTAATAAATATAATTAAGAATTAGTAAAATATATAATTTTTTTATAAAAAAACAACACCAGGTATAATTTATTTTTAAATATTAAATTGAAAACTTGCGTGCATTTGAACGATGAATCTTTAAATGTTGTACACTTTTACTTTAGTTATCAAAAAAACTGGAGTTTTGGTTCTGCTGTATAGTAAGATTTTATTATACCTCATCAGTAGTAAGCCAATGTAATGGTAGTAATATAATTTTAAACCAATGGTACATAATTGCATATGAAAAATGATTCTTAGTAGAAACTGTATGACAGCCTATATTTTTAATTTTATAATTTATTTATATTACTATTGCTAATATTTATTTTTCTATTATTTATTCGGTATATTGAATTAATTTTTGCCAAATTCATTGAATGCATGGCTATTATTACTTCAATTATAAATCAATGCAAATAAATCTTAGAATTATGTGGGCAGTATTGTGGTATAAATAGCTGAAAATTGATCTAATTTTTTTTTTATTTAATAGAAAATGTACAATCTGTAATACATAATACAATAAGTAAAAAAGATGACTGACATAGCACTACACACATAATAAAAGTAACACATGAAGCACAAGATGAGGGAAATCATTCAGCGATGGTACCCTCCAGTAATTTTTTTTTATTCATTAATTTAATAGGTCATGGCAACAATTTATTTTGAATCGGCGCGTAGTGGGTTGTCAGGAAAAGTATGTGATGCTAGGTGAGAGACGTAAGGATTAGGATGGTGTTGCAGCTTAGAGTGAAATCTGTTATAGTACAATTGAGGGGCGACATTTCAGAACGTACTATTTCCAAAATTTAAGAAATTGAGTTATATATTGATTCTTATGGAAAAAAGGCGGGAAATCGAATGGAATGGTCAAATTGAACCAAAACGTACTATTTCCCTTGTTAAATTGAAGTTGTTAATCTGTTATTGTGGCACAACGTACTATTTCCATGTCAAATATTAGGTCAAAACGAACTATTTACAAATTGCATCAAAACGTTCTATTTCCTGTGTTAAATAGGAGTTTGGTTTAGAAATATGCGGCAAAACGTACTAATTCCAAATATTTTTACAAAACTAACTATTTCCAAATTACTTTAAAACGTACTATGTTCTATTTTATAAAGATAGGAAACGTAATTGAAGTAAACACAAAACGTACTATTTCCAGTTGTTTGAAAATACATAAAATATTTTTTGTAGATTTTTTATAATTAATTCATTTATATAAATTAACTGTCAAAATTAATTTGAATGGTTTATTTATTTATTTCTACATCTAAAAACATTATCATCATACACCAAGCATTGATTATTGATAGTAAATTGCGCCAAAAGTGTTGATGGTCAGTGATAACATCTATCATATTCATTTTATTCATCTCAAAAACCTCAAACCACGGCCTTAGACTTTGTAATAGTATAATATAATATAATTATAATGTATAAATCAAGAACTAAATGCCTTGTGCATCGAGCAATACAGGAGGTAACTATTTCCATAAATCAGACCAAAACGTACTATTTGTCGGAAATAGGACGTTATGATGCAATTTAGTAATTAAAATTATGAATAGCTACATTAAAATTAAAATTGTATGATGTTTTTGCGATATTTCCACGAGTTTCTAGTAATTCGGAACAGAAAATCGTGTTTTCTGAAAAAAGTGTAAAATGGAAATAGTACATTTTGAAATGTCGCCTCTCAATTTAGCTAGTTGGTCAACTGTCGGAATTCTTTGGTCTTAGTGTAGGGTTTCATTTGTTACACACCAAGGGGCCGAGGCTATTAGCCGGAGAGTGATGGACTGGGAAGCTTGGATAGTGTGGACTTGAGAAGGTTAAACACAACCCAAGATTTGCATACCGTATGCCCAAATGGGTCTGAGTAGAGATTTGTAGAATATAGACTGTGTTTATTGATAGTTTAGATTTAAGAATCGGCCTAAGTAGATGAAGGTGGTTGTTAAGGATTTTACGTTTGAATTATAAATGTGGTCCCCGTGTCAATCTTTTGTCTAGTAAACTTCCCAAATATTTTACCTGATTCGATGTAGGAATATCGGCTCCTTGAAGTTGAAGCGAGGGGAGGTTGTTTTTCGCAGTGTAAATGGCACATGGAAAGATTTATTGGGATTTATCAAAATTCTCCACTCGGCAACCAGGTGTTTGTTAAATTGAGGTGATTTTGGAGACAGAATGGGGTCTGAATTGAAAGGGACTAAAGCTGTATCACCTGCATAAGTTGCTATGGTCGTGTTTGCTGTTTTCGGAATATCCGATGTATATATATTAAATAAAATAATAAGTTGCATAGTAATAAAAATAATATGTTTTTGCAAATATTCAACTAGTTTATGTTTGATTTCATCGAAATGAGTCTGGTACAAATTACTATATTATTATACTACTAGGTACTGCTAATGATTAATAAGAATTATTTATTTAGAATGATAGGTATACATAAGATTTGAGTTCGTCGTAATTCGCCTGTGCGAACCTCGTGGTAGTGACCATATTTCCAATATCATAACAGTTATCAACAACAGTCTCGAATTTTAATCGTTCCCACCACCTATTTAATAATAACCCTCCAGCCCTTATGCCCCATACACTTCAACTCCAATAAGGCAAGCTGGTAATTATACATTTAATATCTAATAAACGATTTCCTCGTTAACCGAGGACCTTGCCTCAATAGATTCCTATTCCATCTTTGCTGATATTATAAATTACGCCACACAATCTGCCATAACACCTAAAAAAATCTTACCCGGGAATTTTTATTCCGTAATGCAATCATTTTATATGTATTATTGGAGCTTATTATATTCCGCCTTTAAGTCCAGCCAATCGTTATACTGGATCTTTCAAAATTAGAGTAGGATCAGACTTCTCACAATTACACCACATCAAAGCTGGAGTCCCCCAAGGATCAGTCTTGGGACCTACTCTGTTTAATATATATTGCCATGACATCCCAATTCCCCTAAACTCTCAATTAGCAATGTTTGCGGATGACACGACAATTCTCACACAAGACAGCTCCTTAGATTTAGCAATCCAAAACCTACAAATCTCACTAAATGAAGCAACTACCTGGTTCCAGAAATGGAAACTGAATCTAAATCCAATAAAAAGTGAGGTTAAAATATTCACTCTTAAGAGATATAACAACCCTAAAGATATCCACATAAACAACCAGACCATCCAATGGAATAAAAAAGACAACGCAGTCAAATACTTGGGTGTCCACCTAGATGAAAAACTTACTTGGAAAACTCGTACAGGGCTATACAAGGATGAGAACTCTTTACCCTCTATTAAACTACAAATCAACACTACAAATCAAGTCATCACTCCTTCTATTTACCTCAATAATCAGACCGTTGATAACATATGCATGCCCTGTTTGGGCGGCAGCCTCACCCACAAAAATTAAAAAAATCCAAACTCTCCAAAACAAATTCTTCAGGATCTCCCTAAAATCACCATGGTTCATGAGGAATCGCCAAATCCATAACGACACTGGAATACCCTTAATAAGTACCTGGATAAAAACCCAATTCAAAAACTTCCATGCTAAGCAGTGGCGTACACAGCTATTTTCAATGGGGGGGGGGGGCTTACATATAAAAAATTATATACATTTATATATTATACATTGATAAATCAAAATAATATGTTGTTTAACTAATATTTATTTTCATAATAAAACTATGTCTATTTTCCTGGGTTTTTGTCCCAACTCATCAATGACTTCTTCAGGAGTTAAATTAATATCACGGTATACCGACAACATGGTCAATCCATTTAATCTGTCCTGTGTAAATAATTATTTTTCAGTTTATAATATAATGGAGTATAATTTGGAATATCCTATATCTAATAATAATTATTATTAAATAATAACTTCGGTGACGACGGTCCTCTCGCCGTACATTGTTAATCGAAACTCGATTGTGACGGTAACACTGAAATTCCCTTAATTTAATTTTGTATTTATTTTTATTAGTACTATTAATTTTTTTTTTAAATTGTCATCATTTTTATAATACATTTTTACGTAATTACGTAAACTGAAAAAATACTAAAAGGGGGGGGGAGAAGTATCCCCTCAAGTTTTTCTACCTTAAACATAACAAAAGTTTACCCTAAAGTTTTTTTTATGAGTTTGAGTTTAAAATATTCACGATATGTGATTTTTAGCGGTAAATTAACGAATTCCCATTAATCTATTTTTTATATTTGGTTTTATTTCAAAAGCGATAATATAGTAATAAATAGAAATGTAGGTACCTATAATCGTTGGTAGATATCCCTCCGTCCTGGCAGTTCCCAGAAATTCAATTCAAATCATATAGGTACAGTTCATAATAGGAAAACTCGTAAATAACTTTTTATAAATAACTTAGTTACTTACTTAGTTGTTTTATTTATTTTTTAATTAGTTAAGTTAAAAGTTATCAAAAAAGTAACTTTAAACTTTTTAACTAGTTACTGCCCATCTTTGAACTCGTAACCTGTCATTGAAATTTGAAGTATTTAACATAGGCAACTTTAGAATGTCATACTGTCATAACTTTGAAACTAACTCAGACTGCTAAATTCACTTCACTATCTATTTTTGCATATCTAACTACAAACATTTAAATAAATATTTAGTAAAAAGGGTACTTATCCCATTG